ATTGGTAATCGCATGACATGCATCTGACTACCTTGCTTACGTATATATACACATGCACACATAAATAGTTGTTTTCATAATCTACATGAATATTACTTTATTTCAAACTTGAAAATATTTCATTAATTTAAAAACATTAAATAGAATTTTAGTTGGCACTGCATTGCTTTAATATATTAATTCAGAAAATGAACCAGACATTTTCTTTCCATTGAATAACAAATCATGTCCTTTTAACATTTGCAAATCTCCTCTTATGGCCTTCAGTGTGACTTTATGGTGCGTTGCAATGGACATTCATTTATTTCACGTTTGCTAATGTTCTTGTCCATGGTGCAATTTTTCATTATGTTAGATTTGATGGCTGTTGGTACAGAAAAAATCATTCATTTCTGTATGTTGAGTTTTTGCCAGTCAATTTTCTATAAGTTACTATTTTAGTGCAGTTGTAATTTTTATCTTGCATATAGAAACATACCATCTAATAATGATAATATTAGTTCTTTACTTTTCTATCTTATTTTTACTAAATTGCACTTAAAATATAATTATGATTACTATAAGCATTATTTGGTCATCTGATTTAGATCAGTTCTGGTAACCATAACGAGTGATATTGCATGAATGGGTTATTATGTATACCTATTCAAATTATTAAGCAGATTTATAGACCAGCCTGTATTCATAGGATTGGTCTAGGCTAATGATATAATTGAGCGTATTCATCATGTAAGATAGTTATGGAATCCAAGGGACGGGATGAGGTTTGAGAACTAAAGAGGAAAGAAGGATGTGGGATGGATTTGGGGCCATCCAAGATTTGGGGATTTATTTGAGGATGAGAAAACCAGCAAAATAGTCTCAGCAGAAGTACTTAGCACCTGATAATCACTCGTGGAAGGATATATTTCCCAAAAAGGGGAGGGATAACTCTCTTCTGAGAAGCTCTATGAGGTGGTACAAAGAATTGATTGCTGGGTTTGGGTCACAAGAGACCTGGCCAAGTAAGTAGCGATGTCCCCAGAGGATTGCAATGTGCTGAGATGAGAATGGAGTTAAGAGAGTAACAACATGTTTTGAGACATTTGCTGTGAATTATACTTTTTTACTGTGATTTGTTCATCACTGTAACCAAAATAACTGAAAAGAACAATTTAGAGGAGAAAAAAAATTATTTTGTCTCAAGGTTTCAGAGGATTCAGTCATGGACAGCTATTGCTTTGGTCCTGAGGTGAGGTAGAACATCATGGTGGAAAGGCGTTGGAGAGGGACAGCTTCTCATCCCATAGAAACCAGGAAGCAGATAGAGAGAGAGGAGGGGTCTGAAGGGAATATGAATCCTCCCAGGGAACACCACAGTGACCTACTTCCTCCAGCTACACCTCAACTCCCAGAGAGATTCAGCTACGGAAGGATTAACCCATCAAATGGATTAACAATGAAGTCAGAGCCTTCATGATCCAATCATTGGGTAAAATTTCCACTTCAGAATCTTGCTGAATTGGGAACCATGCTTCCAGTGTAAGATTTTGGGGAACATTCCAGATCCAAACCAGAGCACAATCCAAGGTGCTTGCTCACTTTCACTCATCCTCTCCTGCCAAGCAGACCACCATGCTGTCTCCGATTAGAGTAAGGAAGTTCTTGCTGAGCCTCCCCATCTTCCTCCTCCTTGCTCTTTTAACTGCCTTTGAGATTCAATTTCTCCCATATGCTACTCATTCAGAGAGAAAAACGTAATTTTCAAAGATTATGTTGAGATGACCTTGGAAGGCAGTGCAGTGTTAGTGGGGAGGATGTCATAATCTATATAGGTGAGGTCAGGAATCATAGAAGAAATATGAGGTTTCTATCTATTTGATAAACCCAGAACAGAGTTCAGGAATCATTTGATAAACCCAGAGCAGAGTTCAGGAATCATTTGATAAACCCAGAGCAGAGTTTCATTGCCACTATCATTTCCACATATAAATTAGTCAATGTATGTAAAGCTGCTCAAAAATATTTATAACACTTTGAAATTTTGCATTCCTTTATTGATGAGTGACTTTAAGATTTTGAGATACTTACATGTAAGATTAAGGTTAGAATGAGAGAATGCCCCCACCAATTTTAGCTATGTATTTTATAAAACAATTATTAAAATACTTTGATCTTTCATATACTAGTATTAATTGTATTAGTTTCATACTACTAATAATTTTTATTATGAGGTCAGTAATACTGCTCACAGCATGTGTTTGGTATTTGGTAATATAAACATTCTTCAACATTTTTATTTGTAGTTAATTAATACCTAGTGAAATGAGATAAGCTTTATAGAGAAGATACAAATGTGTATCTTTTGTTTAATAGTATACTCCCATATCTGAGGACTTTGAAAAACAGATTCTTTTATTTAAAATAGTTTTTTAGTTATACATGGATGCAATATCTTTATTTTGTTTGTTTATTTTTATGTGGTTCTGAGGATAGAACCCAGTGCTTCACATGTGCAAGGCAAGTGCTCTACCACTGAGCCACAACCCCAGCCCGCAAAACAGATTCTTAATAAATATTTGTCGAATTTCATATAAGAAATATTTTTAGGCAAAATAATTAGAATTTTTAAATTTTAATTTAACTCTTGTGGAAAAACGCACACCGTAAGGTAAACATGTAAGGCCTTTGAAAGAAGATTTTTTTATCTTAACCTTATATTTTAATGATTGTGGGAAAATATAAATTTGAATTAAACATATTTTTAGCTATGCACAGCTGTGCATTTTGTAAATGTCTTGACTTAGAATTTTTCTGTAGTTTACATGTGAAATGTCAAATGTGAAACGTGTAAAATGTATTTAATTAGCCCTCTCCATATCTACCTTAGTTCATTATTCTTCTTTGCTGTTGTATAATAAGCTTTAAAACATAATGTACAGGGATTGCTGTCCTTTACAAAAGTAATTTTGGAGTGATTTTTTTATGTGCTTGAAAACTATATACATTATTAAAATTTAATAGGAGTATGTAGCCAGCATAGAGAAATTTTAGACAAGTTTTGGTTGAATTATATTGATGGTGACAGAATTAGTTTCTTCTCACATAGTTATCTCCATGTTCCATTCTCTCTATTCCTTCATTTCTAAAATATTACTTGATTTATTTTTATTGCTTTGAATGTCCCTGTTCTTAGATTTTGTTCACACTATGTAACATAAAATAACGTTTATTAGTGCTTGAAATGCAGGCTTGGAAAATCTTTTGTTCTTATTCATGAGTATGTTAATTTTAGAGTTATTTGAGAAGACACAGTTATAGCTCCATATCCTTAAAACAATCATTAAAATAATGGCAATAATACCGTTTAGTAAATAAAGGAAGGACTTTGGGCTTCCAATCTTGTCTGGACAGGGAAGACCACAAATCTGGATGTCATTCTTCCCTACATCAAAGGGAATCCTCACTGCTGATTTGGACTATGAAGACCTCACTCTCTATGATAAGGTTCAGATGCTAAGATATCCAGTATAAAATTTATGCTCAGTTCTCTACTAGTAGTGTAGACAAAGTACTATGGATCAGAGAAAGGGATCCATTCTTCCAGGTAACAAAACAGGTAAACTGGTAAAGAAGGCTTCATGAGGGAAATCAGATTGTTGGGTAAGAATTCCCAGAGAGGGTGGTAGAATGCACAGCACAGAGAAGCAAGGCACATAGCAAAGACTCCAAACGGGGGCCACAACTATCAATGGCCATGCTCTTGGAAAGGCAAGTTAGACCAAGAGTGCAGAACTCTGTTGAGGAACTCTGTTCCCTTTCCCCTTTCCTTGAACTTCAAGGAAAAGATTCTTGAACTTCCTTGCAGAAAGATTCATGACGATTGTATACATGTATTTTGTACAACATGTTTTGAAATAGGTATACATTATGGAATCGCTAAGCCAAGCTGATTAATATATGCATTACCTCCCAGAATTATCAACGTTTTGTGGTGATATCATTCAAAGTCTACTCTCAGCAGTTTTCAAAATCGGATACATTGTGAGAATAATCAGATGTACGTTATAAGGAGGTAGATTGTGTGAAATTTGTAATTGAAAGGAGAATGTTTAAATAAAAGAAGAAAAGAACCAAGTATGTCACCACTTTTTGCAGTCAGTGACAGATTGGATGACAGTGCCTTTCTCCCAGATAAAGGACCTATGAAGAGAAGTAGTAGACTTGTGAATGAAGATAATGAATTTGCTGGGGGAACAGACTTACTTGATCTAACTGGGAAATGCAAGTGAAGGTGTTCAAGCAATTGGAAATGCTTATGTGTTCTGGGAGAAACAAACATAATTCCTTGCATGAAAGCTCAGGTATTGTGTGAATATTAGTAAACTATTTACACATGATTATTATTTACTGCATCCGTTCAATAAATATTGATTCAGAACCTTATGAAGACATGAAAAGTGAATTGATTTTGGTGTATTTGATGAATGACTAGTGGTATATATACATAATGGAGTTTATTTGGTCAGAAAGAAGAACAAAGTTATGTCACTTGCAGGAAAATGGATGAAACTGGAGACCATATGCTAATGAGGTTAACCGACTCAGGAAGTCAAGGTTCATATGTTTTTCTCTTATATGTGGAAGTTAGAAAAAAGAAAGGAAAAGGACCTCATCAAAACAGAAGAAGCCAGTAGACTAGAAGACGTGGATCTGGGGAGAGAGGAAGGGAGGTAAAGGCAGAGTATGAGGGATTGAAATAGACCAAACCCTGAATTGTACATGTGTGGGTCCATTATGATGTAAGATTGCAATGCACCAATGAAATGTTGTATTTGTGAGTGTGCATAAGAAGGTGCAGGTGTCATGGATTTGGTGAAATTTACTTGACCCATTGAAGGATGGTTGGATTTACCTGGCAGGTATATGATAAGGTTTGTTTTTCTGGACCCAAGTGGAAGAGATTTTTGGTAGAGAAGTTGTGAATAGAGACAGCAAAATAATACACCTTAAAATGTGACTGCATGAGGAATGTACTCTTTTTCACTCTTTATTTACAGTAAATTAGCTTTTTCTGATTTTTTTTTTGCCTTTCCATTAGAGGCGATTATATCCTTTCAAATGTACTACAGTCACATGCATAAAGTTGATTCAGCTAATACTTGCTATAAGATGTCTTTAAAAAAGAAAAAGAAAATGAGACTCCAGTCGATACATATCAAAGAGGAATTGCAAATGGTTAATTATTTTCTGACACTTGGAAAAGATGTGAAATACAGTCCACAGGAAAAGAAAATGTTCCTTGGACAGAATATTAACACTTTAATGCCCAACTTTATACAAGAAATGTGAAAGACAGAAACCATCTATGGTAAAACCAATGAAATGGCTGTATCTCAACACAGATGTCAATATTTAGTTCATCCTTTCCAAAGAAGCACAGAAGCCAATGATGCGTATTCAGAAAAATTGCCATACACCTTAAAATACGAATAAATTTTCACCATAAATGCATTTGACCTGAAATGTAAAAATGGATCTGCCTGTAACTGGGAATGTGTTCCCTCTGGGGACTGATAGTGGTGGTTCCCACCTCTGTCTATGGGGAAACAGTGAGCCAACAAGTTGCATGGCTGGTGGCCCTGAGTTTAGCTCTTTCCCTCTGCAGTCAGCATTACTGGCTTTGTTCACACTTCCACCCTGACGGTGGCCAGATGCTTACTCACTGAGAAAATCTATCCCAACCCTCCCACTAACTGGGGTCCAGTCAGCTGGCCTCAGGCAAGTCATTCCGCCCCAGTTTCTTCATCTCATCTATTATATAAATAGGAGGGACGTCATGGAGCCACCCAACATCTGAAAAAATTAAATTAAATGTACCAGTGGATTTTTCCAGAGAGAATCCTGGGTTTTGCCTGCTAGCATTCTTTTTAAATGCAATTTGATTTTTTAATTGACAAAATATATATTTATTGTGTACAATGTGTTCCAAAGTAGGTACAAGTTATGGAATGGCTAACTTAACATACACATTTCTTCACATGCTTATCAACAATGTTTTGGGGTAAGACCACTTAAAATCTACTCTGTTCATGATAAAAGACAAAGGTTTCTGTCTTTTATATTTCTTGTACAAAATTGGGCATTAAAGTGTTAATATTCTGTCTTAGAAACATGTTTTGGGGTGAGACTGCTTAAAATCTACTCTCTTTAGTAAAATGGTAGTCAGTGTGTGGTATTATATTTCAAAATACAATAGATTGTTCTAGCCTAAGTCACCGTGGTGTTGCGGTAGGTCTCTTGAACTCCTGGATAACTGACATTATGTAGCTTGTGGCAAATGTCTCTGAAACCTGAACCCTACATCCCCCCTAGTTAAGGGTCTTGATTGCAAACTACAGAAACCAACTTCAATAACTAGAATTTAAAATAAAAAGGATTTTCTTCAGGCTCAAGAGTGCAAGCTTGCACAATCCGCCACTGAGGAAACCCATGGAAGCAAGGGCACTGCTGAGCGCCAGTCCCATAGCTGTCCCTTCTAAATGCTGTCACTGAGTACTGAGCTCCTCCACTCTGCCTGCTTACAGCTGTGCTGTGGTGCTTGCTGCTCCACATCAGAGCTGAGCCTTTCCTTCTGCCTTCAAGATTAGGAGCCCGTGATCCTTGACCAAAAGTGCCTGTCCAGTGTGTCCCCATTCTGGCCACCAAGGGATAGAGAATATCATGGGGGAGGGGACCCTGCCTCTTGCTGAAGAGGTCACCACCTTCTCCCAGGAGGAGATGAGCTGGGGCCACCAGAACACCCTTCTCCCTTGCCTTCTCCTTCTTCAGATTCTCCCAGGGACGCCAACCCCCGACTTCTGTCAGGGAAGAGTCTGAATCGCTGCATTAGATTATCTGTAATTACAGCTATGAAATTATGCGATTCTAAATACCAATTTTTATTTCCTCCATCATCTTCCAACTCTGAATTTCCTGAACAAGATACAAATGCAGCAATAGAATGACTAAGAGCTTTGCAGGGTCAGCCCTGAACATCTTTGGCTCATTTCAGTGGGTGTGTAATTATGATGGTTGGGCTAATGACAGAGAGTAACAGATGTCTCGGAGCACTGTCACCCAACTGAATTTCTGGCAAACCAAGAAGATTCCCCAGAAGAAATTTTCTTTCTCATGTAGCCTCTGATGCTGTGCTGAGAGTATATTCAGATGCAATATGGCTTAATAAGCTAGGTGCATAATCCTGAAGGTTAATGAGAACGGATGTGAGTTTTGATCCTGTCCCTTATTTTCTGGTTCTCCAGGAACAGTGGCTGTGCCTCAGGATGTCTCAATTTCCTGTTTAGTAAAATGGTAGTTGGTGCGTGGTATCATAAAAACAAAATGACATAGTGCGAGGAGTTATAGCGATATGCAGTGACAGCTCAAGAAATAATGATGAAAATCATCATATTACTAGTTAAGGGATGGTCTAGCTATGAGCCCAACTCATTCCAAAAAAAAAAAAAAATGTTTGTACTTTTAAATCTTAAGTTTAACATAATAAAGATCTTTGGGAATATTCCACATTGAAGTAATTCCATGAACTATGGAATCAACCATTTGCACAGATCACTCAAATACCACATTGAAAGGTAACAGTGACCATTTTTTTTACCCCCATTAAAAAGATATTTAAAAAGAGTACATTATATTAAATTATGCCCAAGTATATGAATTGCTTCAATTATTTTAAACGGTACCATTAAACTGAATTTAATATGAAGTAGCCAGAAAGTTTGATGATGGGATTATTCTTCAAAGATGTGTTCAACAAAAGTAGGGTCGACGTTGTGAAGGACTTCTGAGCTGGCCTTTGTCACAGCTACTTCCCACATCCTGGGCATTTGTGCTTGTTTTCATGAATCCTTTGATTCCGTGATTCTCCTAACCAGGGTGCCCTTTCTTTACAATTTTCAGGCAAATGTGAATGTGGCAAATGCACGTGCTACCCGCCAGGAGACCGCAGGGTGTACGGCAAGACCTGCGAGTGTGACGATCGCCGCTGTGAGGACCTGGACGGTGTGGTCTGTGGAGGTTGGTGATGGGCCCCGCAGCCTCTTGCTGTCTGCACGCCTCTTGTTGTCCCTGCCTTTCTATCTTCCTTGCCCCTGTTTTAAAGTGCTGTTAAAAAGAGGAAAAACAAAAAGCATTATCACATTAGACCTAAAGGCAGCACACAGTTAGATTCACTGTGACCTTTATGTCCTTGAACTCTTGATGTAGGGGCATTGGAAAATACACAGTAATGGATCATTGAGTCTGAACTATGTACAAAGTACAGTGATATTTGTTATCACAGTTAAAATATTTTGATGGACGTTAACATTTTATCATGGTTTTATGACTTCACTCATAAACACTGATGGAGGAAGTTTCATCCTACAAACTTAGAAAAAACACGCCAAGTTTATGCTCTGCAAAATGATAGATGCACCATTTCCATGATAGCTCTTGGACCAAACTTGAGATTACAGAAAATAATAAACTGTCCAGAGAAACAATGAGGCAGATGGACAGCAGTCAGCAAAGTAGCAGCAAAAATGTGAGTCTCAGAAAGAGACGCCCACCTGAGCCTCATCCAGGAGGGAATGGGAGTCACAGTCTCGTATCTCAGTCTTCAGATGATTCATATTGTAGAGACGGATGGGTGCAAGCTATTTCTCCTCAGGGATTTTCAGTACGATTGAACTGGATGTGTAACCACATAAAAAAATGTAATTGCATCTCTCCAAGATTATTATTATAAGTACATTGGGCAGTATATTATTGGGAAAACCCCAAAGGTATATCCTGTGTTCAGAAGAAAGACTGGGGGATCATCTGTCTCTATCGTCCATCTGACACCTCTGTCACTTCTCTCTTCTCTCCTTTCCAACTGTAAAACACTGGACAATTTGATGGGAAATATTTTCTTCTTTTCTTTCCCTGTGAGATGGGACATAAGGAAAAGCCCTCTTAAATATCCGTGGTGCTGGAGGTTCAGATGTTGATTGGGTGAGACAGCAGCTCACAAAGTGTTCCTGTTTTACCAATTTTCTGCTGTTATGGTTTGAATCTGGAATGTTCCCCCCAAATCCCATGAGCTGGGCAATTCCGTGATGTTCAGAGTTGAATTGATTGGATTATCAGGACTTTAACCTCCTCAGTGGATTTGAAGGATTAATAATTTGATTGGACTCATAGGCAGATGGGGTATGGCCTGAGGAAGCAGGTTCCCTGGTCCCTGGCCACTTCCTGTCTGTCTCTCTCTGTATCTGTGCTTCCTGGCTGCCACGAGTGAGCAGTGCTTCTCCACCACACCCTTCCACCATCATGCGCTGCCTGTCCTCAGGCCCAGAGCAATGGAGTTGGCTGTCTATGGATTAAAACCTCTGAAGCCATGAGCCAAAATAAATCTTTCCTCCTAAGTTACTTTTGTCAGGTATTTTGGTCACAGCAGCATAAAGCTGCCTAATGTGTTGGTGCTGCAAATCCAACGGGTCCACAGTGTCCATCTTTGCAGCGCTCCTTGGAACCTCAGGGATGGACCTTGGTGAACCAAACTCGTGAAGTGCAGTGCATAAAGCAGAACACCAGTCACTTGATCTGTAGCGTGAAGTGGAGTTTGGAACTCTGTAGCGAAACCCTATAGCAACTCAGGTGCTGAGACAAGGATTTGGCTGTGCTTTATGGAAAAGGTGCTGGGAATGCTGTTGAGAGAGCTGTGGCAGGAAGGAGGAAGCAGTCTATGAAAGTCACGTGGTCAGTGCAGTCACATGGTCACCTGGGGCTTCAACTCAGCCCAGGGTTGAAGCTCTGGGATCCTGTGTGAGACACAATCCTTAAGTATCTATCAGTGGTCCCCTAATGACCGTTTCTAGCAGGTGTTTATTCCCCTGCCACATCAGCATGCCTTACAGGTGTGTTCTTAGAGCATGGTCCTGTGTCTGGCAAAGGCTTTGTGGCACCTAGTGGGAGTCGCTGAACAACAAGGATGAAGGGATGCGAGTGTGTCCTGACTGCCACTGCCACAATATCCTTTCCAAAGGAACACAGTCATGTGTCGGAGGACCTGGGAGTGTTCTCTGGGTCCTGCAACACACACTCGCAAGTTCTTATTCTTTGAACACCATCTAGATTTTGACAGCTGTCCCGTCCACTCTTACCCAGGAGTTAACAATAGGTTAGACAATATCCACAGACAAGCTGTCAACCTGATCCTTGTAAAACCTTGATTAAAATTTAGTAGATACTGAATCAAACACACAGAGACTGTCTCCTTGGGGGTTGCTGCTTCGGTGGTGCCATGGAACATAACTGTCAGAGGATGAACTTATTTGCAAGTCCAGGTGGGTCTTTGCCTGGCCCCTATACAGCAGAAGAGAGTGGTCCTCCTGCAGCCGGTCAACGTAACCAGACATGCAGACCATCTTGGATCACTACCATCAGGTTACTTCTTAGTCGACTTCTTAAACTAACTCTAAGAACCACATATTTATTTATTTTTTACTTTAGATTTTAACAAAAGCATTTTATCAACCCAAAGATCTTTGGATACTTAATTCTTTTCAAGTTTGTAAAGGAAACAAGTACTGGATATTTCCCTTGAAAATATTTCATATTATTATTATTATTATTATTAAAATTTACTTTGATTCTCCAATGATGTCTCTGAAAAATCTGGGGTTAGGATGACACCAATATTTAAAAAGATTGTTTATATGTAACAACGTGTGCTTCACTTACCTGGTCCTGGCTCACAGGGGTCCCTTAAGTAACTGACTCAGGTAAGAGCCCAGAACCTTGCACTCTGCCATAGACTTGACACAAGGCCTGTGCACACATGTTTGCACATTCCTCTGAGTCCTGTAGCTTGGACAGGGATAGTTCCTGGAGAGAGAGATGCTTCACAACAGCCTGGTCAAGTTCATCATGAGAAATACCGAGGTAGGAATGGCACATAGAACTCAGCATCCCATTCCGGTGCTCTGCGGAGCACTGCTCCACAACAAAAGCCCAAGACACAGTCAGTTCTTGATCTTTTTGGCAGTTACATTCTAAAAGGTCACCCTGAACACTGCGATAACACCGCATCAGTTCCTGCCTGTGGTCACAATGTTTGTATCAACTGATCAATAATGAAGTGTTTTACTTATGTTTCTGGGTAAAGAAACCTTATCTAATACATAATTGATTCATTAGCATTGAACTCAAGGCCAGCATCTCTATAAACTCAGGCCTGAAAAAGGCTGATCTAGCACATGTATTTTCTCTGCAAGGCATGTCACAGCCTTCTTGAACTTAGAAACCCTGGGCAGCACTTCAACACTGTGCCTGGGGCCACCTGACACCATCAAAAAGCATGAGAATGTGAAAAACATAAACCATGAGAAAGACACATATTTAGGACAGAGCTGGAAAAGGATGGTGGAGCGTGACCCTCTTTGATTTTAACTGGGAATGTGAGGCACAGGCAAGTCAGGTATTTCACCATGCTACTGAGTTCTCAAATGCCTGGGGTGGCTCTGCGAGTATGGTTTTAGTGTTGCAAATCAGTGTTTGTGAATGAGTGAAGTTGCAAATATAAAATCTGGGATTAGAGAAAATCAACTGTAATTCATATTGACCTGCACTGGAATGGGTACCAGTGCTTCTCACTTTAGCTTTGCACTTACCTTCAAGTTGTGGTTTCTTTAAGGCAGCTGGTAAAGATAATGTGGTTTTAATTCCTCTATTTTCTGCTCATTGCTTTATGGAAAGGATTATAGGGGCCTTGGCTATTATGGTATTGAATTTCTTCTAGGCCGTGGCTATCTTTGCAAAGAAAATAAAAGGGACATTACATTATTGAGCATGTTTCAATCTATAGCAATTTTAGCAGTGAAGTATACAACATAGCAAACCAAATGGTAAGAAGGTCACAAATTTCCATGCTTGTCTTAAGCATTCACTTAGCATATTGACAGTGCACCAGGCTGAAGCCAGGTTTTCTTGGGTACATCCCTGCTCTTCCTGAGGCCCCTTACTATATATAGGGCCTCAAGAAATTGATGTAACCTCTATTTTTCATCTATAAAATGATAATAACATATCTTATAGGATTGTTGTGAGATTAAAGAAATTGACGCATATCAAATATTAAGACAGTACCTGGTACATAAGTTTGCCATACATATATAGATCACCCTACATATATTAAATACATATATTAGATCACCCTTATTAAATACATATACAGAAAGTGCAATGTACAATTTAGCCATATCTGTGATGGTCTGGTCTTCAGTTTTGGATGGCATGGATGATTACACCTTTCTATTCTTTTTGTATGAAATAAACTTTCTTCTTATGTGTAAAACCTAAGCTGCCAGACCAAAACAGCAGAATACCATCCATCTCCATAGTGTTTAAGCAGCTCTTGCTAAATAGTGCACCTTCTATGGGGAAGGGAAGCTTTCTGTGGATCTGCTCAAGTGTTCAGGGGCACCATTAGGAAGACATAGGCCATCAGGAGTCCTCAAGCCACAACGTTTCCATATTCCTCAGTCGATATGAAAAAATCCAGTCACACACAAAAAAATTCTGTCTTGTTTAGTACATGTTTTAGGCAGCTTTTCCACCACTGTGACCAAAAGACCTGACAAAAGCAATTTTAGAGGAGGGAAATTTTATTTGGGGCTCACAGTTTCAGAGGTCCCAGTTCATACATGGCTGCTTCCTTTGTTCTGGGCTCAAGATAAGGTAGAGCATCGTGTTGGAAGGGCATGGATGTGGAAAGCAGCTTAGGACATAGCAACCAGGAAGCAGAGAGAGTGTTCTGCTTCCAGGGACAAAATATATACCCCA